GGCCAATGTTTGCACCACACCCACTGAAAACAAGGGAGTCAGCTAGGTGACATCGCTTCGTAAAGAACAGTAGAGATGGTTCAGGGTGTGTGCTCAGTCCTAGCCCCAGGGCCCTTTTCCAATGACAGGAGGCAGCTCCCAATTGTACTGATAGGAGTTTTGCCATCACGGGATTTCTCACTTCTCCCTTAGTAGGTGCTTCCCAGGATAACTTCCCTTTGCCCCGGAAGAGCATTGCCTGGTCCTCTCCTGAGGCACCATGAATCTCAAACCTCTCCTTCCAACTCTTGTCCCCTCCTCACCTCCCCACCAAATCTGATGATGAAATGTCCTGAGACCAGTTGGCTGGACGGCCCAGCCCCGTCTCTGCTCACTAATCCTGACTCAGGCACTGACAAGCCAAATCACTTGACCCCATGGTTTTCATCAAGAAAATTAAGGTGGTGTATGTCTGTTCCAAGTCAAAAATCATTTAATTTGAGTTAACTGAGTCTTTCTCTCAGCAGTGTTTCATTGTCTGTACTCTCAATGGCCCAGCATTAAACTGTATGTCTTTGTCTTTCCCTGTAGGATGTAAGTCAGAGCGGCATGCGTAGAGAGATGGGGAGGAGGAATGCTTTTCATTCTCCCACTCTGAAAAAACTCGAGAGAATTTTCTAAGGAAGAAGAAAGTAAGAAATAACCTCTAAGCTCTATTAGTCTGAGCGTAGTTAACAAGAAGAGAAAACTACATTAGTAATAATTGAAAAAGGACACTAGGAAAGAGAAGGAAGGTGTAACTACTGCCCTAACACAAGGGCTTGGGCTGTCCCACCAGGAGACAGGAGACGACAGGCCACACCCTATTCTGCGAAGGTGGTGTTTGCGTTTTATTTAGAACCCCTGCTTTTGTGAGAGGATTTCAAAGAATTAACAAACAAGTGTATGATTGATTCAAGTCATGTCCTCTTGAGGGTCAAACATGAGTGGCTACAGTTGCAGTATCAAGGCCAGATGCCACAGTTTTCACTATGCAGGTGGGCCTGCCTGCATTTCCAATCGTGTAAACCAAATTCATCCCAGAATCTGACCATGCCAGGTCATATCCAAAACGTGACTAGAATACAAAGCAATGGGAAATATCTTTCATTTTATGTATGATTTTAAAAGTTACTAACGTATGTCTCAGTGATTCTATGTGCCAAGCTACCTAAAACCCAGTGGTTTCCAACAACAATCATTGCTTTTCGCTCAGAGTGTAACTTGGGTGGAGTTTGATTTAAGCTGGGCTTGGCTTGGCTGGTTCCCAGCCCGAGTCACTGAAATGTACAATTTACAGGAAGAACAGACGCTAGAGGGACGTATGAAAGGATACCCTGGTGATGCAGTCAGCATAATGCAGCAGGCAGGAATGCTACAAGACCGGAGCCAACCCTCTGGCACAGCAGTTAAGTGTGCACATTCTGCTTCGGCGGCCTGGGGTCAGCAGGTTCAGATCCCGGGTGCAGACATGGCACCACTTGGCAAGCCATGCTGTGGTAGGCGTCCCACATATAAAATAGAGGAAGATGGGCACGGATGTTAGCTCAGGGCCAGTCTTCCTCAGCAAAAAGAGGAGGATTGGCAGCAGATTCTGGCTCAGGGATAATCTTTCTCAAAAAAAAAATGCTACAAGACAGACAGCTCGGCTTCTTCAACAAGTTAAGTGGCAAGAGGAAAAAGCAAGATGGAAGGAGAACCTGTTGATTACAAGAATTGAGACATGCCGATCAATCATTTAATCAAACGTGGACCTTCTTTGAGTCCTGATTCAAACTCTAAAAATAAATTTCATGAAATTTATGAGACAATTGGAAATTGGAACACTGGATTTTTTAATATATGAATAATTTTAAATTTTTTAATATAAAAATTTTATATAAAATATATTTTAGATATGATAATAGTATTATGGTTTTGTGTCTTATATAGATATGAACAGAATATACAGAAGGAAGGGTGTGTCTGTTGTTTGCTTTAAGTTAATATAGGAGCAGAGAGAGAGGTGGAAGTATCTGTGAAATGAGATTTGCCATGAGATGAAAATTCATATGGGGATGAGGATTCATCATACTTTCATCTACTTATTTAAACAGCATTATTGAGCTATAGTTGCCATACAATGAACTGCACATATTTAAATTTGTCTACTTTTTATATATATGTAAACTTTTCTATAGTAAAAGTTTAAAGACAAAGATTCTTTATAATGGCAATCAGTCCAGATTTCTAAAAGGGCAGGCCTCTATCCATTTAGAAAATGAGGGGCCGGCCCTGTGGCCAAGTGGTTAGGTTCATGCACTCCGCATCAGTGGCCTGGGCTGCAGACCTACACACCACTCATCAAACCATGCTGTGGTGGCGTCCCACATAGAACTAGAATGACATACAACTAGGATATGCAACTATACTCTGGGGCTTTGGGGAGGAAAAAAAAGAAAAGAAAAGAAGCATGGTCATTACATCCCTTTGTCCTGGGAGTGTGAAAGCGATCCATTGGTAAGTCTAGGAAGAAATTTAGGGGTCAGGTCCCATCGCTATAATTTTCTTAACAGATTTCTCTACGTCATGTCCTTCAAAGAGATTTGAAAGAGAATTTGCAAAACCTTTGGGACAAACCATGAAATTTTTAAAAACTGCTTTATTTCATTTTAATTCACCAATTTTAAGTGTACAGTTCACTGCCTGCAGTGCAACCATCAATACAATCCAGTTTTGGAACATTTCCATTGGCTGTAAAAGTTCCCTCCTCCGAATTTGTAGTCAATCTCCACTCCCACCCTTAACCCCAGATGGCCAATGCTTTGCTTTCTATCTATACAAGTTTGACTATTCTATACATTTCATATAAATGGAATCAGGCAACATGAAGTCTTATGTCTTCTTTCGCTTGGCGTAGTGTTCTTGAATTTCTCAGTTATTCGTTCCTTTTTATTTCTGAGCAATATTCCATTGTATGATGGACCACATTTTGTTTATCCATTCACAAGTTGATGGACATTTGGATTCTTTATATTTGAGGCTATTATGAATAATGCTGCTATGAATATTCATTTATAAGTCTTCTGTGTGGGCGTGTGTTTTCATTTATCTTGGGTAGATACATAAGAATGAAATTGCTGAGTTTCTTTTTAACATTTTAAGAAACCAGTAAGCTGTTAAGTGGTTGTACCATTTTACATTCCCACCAGCAATGTGTGAGAGGTGCGGATTTTACACCACCTCATCAACACTTGGTATTGTCACCTTTTTAACTTTGGCCATTCTAGTGGTTGTGTAAGAGTATCTCATTGTGGTTTTAATTTATATTCCCCTAATAAATAATGAGCTTATTAGATATTTGTATATCATCTTTGGTAAAGTTTCTATTTAAATTTTCAAAAGTTTTGCCCATTTTTTCTGTTGGGTTGTCTGTCTTCTTGTTGAGTTGTAAGAGTTTTTATATATTTTGGCTAAAAGTCTTTTATCAGATATATATTTTGCAAATATTTTCTTCCAGTGTGTTTCTTAATGATGTCTTTTGAAGGACAAAAGTTTTTTTTTCTCCCCAAATCCCCCCAGTACCTAGTTGTATATTGCAGTTGTGGGTCCTTCTAATTGTGGCATGTGGGATGCCGCCTCAGCATGGCCTCATGAGGGGTGCCATGTCCACACCCAGGATTCTAACCCATGAAACCCCAGCCCCAGAAGTGGAGCGCACAAACTTAACTGCTTGGCCATGGGGCCGGCCCCGAAGGGCAAAAGTTTTCAATTTTGATAAGGTCCAGTTTAACTTTCTTTTTCATTTATGGGTTGTGTTACTGGTGTCTTTATCTAAGATATCTTTGTCTAGCCCAAAGTAGCACATTTTATCCTATGTTTTTTCTAGAATTGTAACAGTATTTAAACACTCTTTAGGTGTATGATCCATTTCAGTTTAACTGTCACATATGGTAGGAAGGAAGGTTCAAGCTTCGTTGTCTTGTATATGGATAATCAGTTGTTGTAGCACACTGGTTTAAAAGACTGTACTTTCCCCCATTGAATCACCTTGGCTCCTTTGTCAAAAATCAATAGAGCACACATGCGCGGGCTGATTTCTGAACTCTCTTCTATTCCATTGACCTCTCTGTCCATCCTTATGCTGGTGTCAGCTGATGTGATTACTGAGCTTTACACTAACCGGTGTTTTCTACATTGACTTGTCTTTCCCGCCCTTGCTCACCAGAGACAGAGAAGCAGCAGCACATAGAATTGGGTGGAATAATCAGGAATCACCAGGTGAACATCAGAGCTTGCCACACAGTATCTGGATATGAAAGATATCCTGCTCTTCCCACAACTTTTCTTCTGCTTTTAGGGACCTGATCTTGTAAGTTCCATATCCTAAGGGAGGGCATTGTGAAAGGCATGTTTATTTTCTTTCTCTTTGCTTAAGAGAAGGAAATTAAAGCATTTGTCTTGGCCAAGAACTTTATTTTTTTTGGTGGGGGTAGGGGTCACAATAATTTCCTCTGCTTATTTTTTCAAGTATTAGTTTCAACATCAGGGAAGTACTTTTACCATATAGACTTTGCTGTTAGTTGATGAACACATTATTTATCATAAAAGAAAGAAGAAATTTTCATCTCTATCCAGAGAGATTGAAGACTGTTTAAAAACATTGATCACTAAATAAATACCCTAGAGACTCAAATTCTAATATGCAGTAACAATAAAGGAGAATATAGAGGCAGCTAAATCTTTGGAATTGTATCTAGAATGCTTATTTGGCCTTTAAATTCATAGATACTTATGTTAATTGGTTTACAGTTGGCTTTAAAGTTTAAGAAATACCAGGGACGGGTCCCATGGCCAAGTGGTTAAGTGTATGCACTCCTCTTCAGCAGCCCAGGGTTTCACCGGTTTCAATCCTGGGCACGGACATGGCACCGCTCATTAGGCCGTGCTGAGGCGGCGTCCCACATACCACAACCAGAGGCTCTCACAACTGGAATATAGAAGAACAAAGAAAGAAGAAAACAAAGAAGAAGGTTGGCAACAGATGTTAGCTCAGGTGCCAATCTTTAAAAAAAAAAAAAGAGACCATCTAAACATAAATTGTACAGGGAAACACCTGGCCTTCCCTCCTGTGTGTCTCCTTTAAAAAAAAAAGAAAGAAATACCAATGTGTGTGTGTATTAAGAAATACCAATGTGTATTAGTATTAGCAACTAATACTAATTGTTTTCTCAATCACTACATCTTTAAAATACCTCTGATTTCTTGTAGAGCAAATCTTCCCACCAGGTTCGTCTTCAAGAATGCCTTGACTCTTCTTAGACTGTTGATCTTTATATAATTTTAGAATCAGTTTGACAAGATCCACAAGAAAGATTACATGAAACTGCACGTGATCTATTGATCAATTTGGAAAAAACTGGCAACTTGATAATGTCTTCCGGTGCACAAGCTTGGGGTGTCTCTCTATTTACTTGTTATCTTTAATTTGTCTCAATGCGGCTATACATTTTTGTAGAGTTCTTGTATATCTTTTGTTAGATTTATCCTAAGTATTTAATATTGCTATTGTAAGTGATATCGTTACTTAAATTTCATTTTCTAACTATCTATAGTTCGAATTCATAAAACCATTGAGCTTTATATATTGACATTTGGCAGCCTTGCTGAACTCTTAAAAATTCCAATAGTTCCATTGTAGATTATTCCCAGTTTCAGGAGTCAGCAAACTATGGCCTCCAGGTCAAATCAACCCATAGCCTGTTTCTACAGGGTCCACAAGCTAAGAATGGTTCTTGCAGTTTTATAAATCATTGTAAAAAAAAAAAATTCTGCACAAACAGTATGTAGCCTGTAAAGCCTAAAGTATTTGTCATCTGGCCCTTTCAAGAGAAAGTTTGCTGGCCTGTCTTGTGTAAACGACAGTCGTATCATCCAGGAACAGTGTTGCTTTTATTCCTTCCATTCTGAATTTGCAGGTTTTATTTCTTTCCCTTCCTTTACAACATTGACTAAAATCTCTAGTAAAATGTGGAGAAATGGCATTAGCTGGAACTTTTAATTCTTCCCCTGTCTCAAAGGAGAAGCCTTTAACATTTTATAATTATGATGTTTGTTTTACATTGTTTTGTAGCCTTCCTTTATGAGAACAAACAAAAAGTCCATTCTTTCCTACTTTTCCAAGAATTTTAATTATAGATCAGTTATTAAAAAAAAAAGCAGACAATCCAGAAATCTAACTTGAAGTGGTCCTAGACAACTGACACAAAAGGAGAGTATTTGTAGAGTAACTTCTCCTAAGAAGTTCCTAAGACAACATCCATTTCCTCATTCCAGCCCTGTTTTGGTATTTTTCACTTTTAATCAATGTTAAACCTGTAACTGTTTCCTGTCACTCAGTATTCTCTCCCTTTGCTACAGTTAAAATGCATATAAGCAGCTTCTTCAAATTAAGGCACAAGGACACTGTCAAGCTCAGTTTCCAACATCATGTGACAAAAGTATATTGACAAGTTTAAAACCGTGATCTACAGCAGAAATAACAAAGGGAAACCCACTTGTGTATTAATTTATTCTTGTCAAATTTATTAAACTTTTGGAAGCCAACAAAGCTACTTTTCTGTTTTCATGTTATTCTTTCCGAATGTTTAGATGAACCAGATAATCTTAAATAGGTTAGTCTGGAAAGCGGCTGTGATACTGAGTTATATCTATTCTAGGCATATGAGTTATTTTTATGCACTATCTTCTCAATCTTATAAAAGAAGTCTTTTATTAACAATACAATTTCTAACACTGCTCAACAGACACACTAATGTTTTGAGAGACATTTGTTTAATTTAGTCCCATCTTAGTGTTCCTTTAAAAAGTTTGACTGATGCCTCTGGAAATTCGGCCAAGAGTGTTGTATCAAAAACTTGCTTGAATTTATCTAAAAATTCATAATCGGTGCTGAATCTGAACTTGTTTGCCCAAAGCAACACCGTCCCTGGCTGACAAAGGTACACCATGGTGGTGAGCAGCTTGTCCAGGAAGTAATGGTGGTAGACCACGTCAGAGGCCAGAATGTAATCGTAATAAAAACTTGACTTGGGGAAGTTTTGTTCCAAGCCCTCTCCCCACACCAGTTCTTTCACTTCAGGCAGATGTGCTGTACATTTTAGTGTGTTCTTTAAAAGATTGTATTGAAGGTTTCCTAGGACATCAGGCAAATCCGTTGCTGTGACTTGAGCTCCTAAGAGAGAAAGAGAAAAATTGTAATTACCTAGAAACATTTGGGAAGCCACAGTGGACATACACTCTCAGGGAGAAACACAGAAATAGAACTGGGCTTCTCAGCCTTGGCTATTGACAAATGGGCTGGACATCTTTGACATAATTCTGGCTGGATAATTCTTTCTCGTGGGGAGCCCTGCCCTGTGCACTGCAAGATGTGTGGCAGCCAACACTGTAAGTTAAACAGCGGTGCAATGTTGGGAGATTTCTGGATAATTAGCTAAACATACTAAGATTCCTAGCATTATTATATTAATAATTCATAATGTTCTCCCTTCTAAAATTGTATTTGTTTGAAGATTTTGTTTTTCTCTTATATGAAGCGTTCAGCACCCAGTTCTTTCCACAAAGGATAATCCATTTTGCATGACTTTCCCCGCTGCCTAACATCGTTAAATTAATTCTTAGGCCTTTTAAAGCTAGTGACTAGGGTTCACAAAGTAGATCAGCGTATTTCCAGATTGGTTTTAAGAGAAGAACTGTAAGAGTGTAGGCAGAAGTATGCCAGCTTTGTACCCACTTCTTGCCCAGTAGCCCAGGAACTCACAACCTGCATTTGGGGTATAAATCTGTCTTCGTCTTATATTAACACACTTATTTTCTTTAAAATCTTAGTTGCAGCCCAAAGCAGGACATAATAGAACATAGTGTCTACAACAGGGATTCAGGGGTCACAGCTCCAGAACTTCAGCTTCATCACACGGGGATCAGTGGACTGAGCAAGTTCCTTAACCTCTCTAAGATGCGATTATCTCATTTCTGGGATAACAGCTTAGGGGGTCATTTGGGGGAGATTCAGTGAATGAAATCCTGGCCAGGCACCTAAACCAGAGCCAGTCATACAGTAAGCACTCACTGTCATTGTTGTCACAGTAAAGGTCTTTTGAAACAAGGTCAGGAAGAAACAAACACACAAACCTAAAATACTGGCCACAATGGAAACAAGGCCTGGTCCAGCACCAATTTCAAGTATTTTAGCATCTTGGAGATTCAGTTCCTCTGTGTGTTCCTCCAAATACTGACACAGAGCCGTTGCCTAAAAAACATTTGCAGTTGTCACCTGGGCATTGGAACATTGGAAACCAGGAGATCCCCTTCCCCACCCCGAGTTAAATTCTAAAAGACATCTTATTGATAGTGTCAGTTTATTGAGGGGTTCGTAAGAATCAAAATATACATTCAATGCCATATTCTGACCTCTGGAATATGAATGTTACAATATGCATCAAAGGAACTGGAGAAACAGATTTGTTAAATTGCCTATATCAGAAGACTCCGGGTCAATCTCCAGAAATAGGAAGATCAGCTGAGCTCTTACAAATCTGTGAAAGGAAGCCTAAAGAACAGCAACTTCTTCCTCTGGTTTATTCATGTCAGGCCTCCACCTGCTTTAAGAATGTTGCTGCATAGATTTCTTCAACACCTGCCTCCGGACTCCTTTATCAAAACCCAGGCTGGTTAGGGCTTTGACTTAGCGCTCAGAACAGTGCTTCTCAAACTTCGGTGCACGCACAGATCCTCCGGGGCCTGGTTAAAGAGGCACATCCTCGTGCAGTAGGGCTGGGGGCTCAAGACTGCATTTCCAACGAGCCACCAGGTAATGTCAATGCTGCTGGCCTGTGGACCACTCTTTGAGTATTAGCAGAGAGATGTTAAAAAACATATTATATGTGAATAAGTTAAGGTAGCTTTTTATACAGAAAATCAAATGTCCCTTTCCTTCTTTATTCGTTCTCTTCTGCCTCCACCTTCTTAACCTTTTTAGAAGAGATAAAGGATATGCAATTTGCACTGATTCATGAGGTGTTCACTTTTATGCCAACAGGGTAGCAGTTAGCGATGTCATGGATCCGAGGGCCTGGGGGAAGTCGTGCACGAGGAAATTATTTGAGTTGGGAATGTGAACACTGAGATGGAAAAACAAATCGAACTCTCTAGATTGTGTACACTTTTAGCCTGCATCTTCCTACAGATGCTCAGGACTCGTTATGACCCCACTTTCTATTTTGAGCCTGGCTGCAGAGGGGGGCAGCCAGGATTATTTGAGACATGCTGCTCTCATGATGGCCGGTGGCAGGATCCGGAGCAAACTAACCCCATAGGTCACTCCCTCTCATCCTCCTCTGTTCATACTGAGCAGTCACACGCCAAGACCAGCATGACATGGTCATCTCTCCTCTCAAGGGACTCAGTGTGGGTGGGGCAAGGGGCCTGTAAACTGATTCTAAACTGCACGACAGTGGGGGACAGGGAGGTAAGAGGCCTGCAGGAGGCACCACCGGGTACTCAGGGGAAGCCCAGTGACAGGTGGCGTGCATGTTGAAGGACGAGTGAGCACACACAAGGAGGGGGCGACACACCAGGCAAGGGGCAGCAGGTGAGACAGCAGTAAAGTGCTGCCCGCTGCAAGGGGCGGGACGGGAGGTTGTGAGGAAAGGAGTCTATTGGTTCTTGAGGAGCAAGGATAATTATTTCCTCTGTGGGGGTTTCAGTATTAGGAAGAGTGTCACCTGGGCCCATCGAGAGGACATATGCTTTGAGGGCTTTTCTGAAGAGACCCCCAGGCTTCCTCCCTCACTGCTGGCAGAGACCAGCCCACCCAATGCTCTCTGCAAAGTTCCCGCCCGCTCCTCAGGCCTCGCAGCAAACTCCTCAAAGTGACTCTCTCACAGCATGAAGTCACACAGGAAAAGTGTGTCCTCCCACTTTACATAACCCCTTTATTTGCAGCTTTCAGGAAACTGAGGTCCCAAGAGAGGCCAGGGTTTGGTGCATGAAAGCCTGAGGCCTTATTAAAAATGAAACAGGCCGGTGGACCACTGCTCTTTCTCCGTGCCTGATCTCTGATACCCCTGCTATAGTGGTCCATTTGCCAGACATACTATAATAGGAAGCTGTGGAGTCGTTTGGTGGTTTTCAAACTTGTTGTTAAGCTAAAGAAAAGCCTTTGTTTGAAGGAAATCAAACTTATATGCATAATGCGCAGAAATCAAGCTTCCTTAGTTAGGGGGAGAAGAGGGTAGAGCACTAAGAGCCTGGAGCCCTTTGTCCCTCCCTCCCCTCTCCCCCCTCCTTCTTCTCCCCTCTCACTTGCCCCCAGTACCCCAGATGGCTGCGAGGAAGCACCACGGAACCTGTAATCATGATGTCTCAGTGTGCGGTCCCTTGACGGCAGGTCTGCATTGCCTGGGAGCATGCAAGAAATGCAGACGCACAGGCCCCCAGCCCTGCTGAATCTGAACCTGCATTTTAACATGAACCCAAAATGATTCACATCCATGCTAACAAGTCATATGAATTCAATTCATTCATATGACTTCAATTCAATTTCATAATGTTTCATATGAACTTTCATCTTGCTTCCTGATATATTCAAGTTTATTTTAATGTAAAAAATAATGTTTCAAGAAACATAGCATAGAGGAAAGGAATGCTTCTGAGAGACATGCTGCGTTTTTGTGGAGCCTGAGCACACCACCCAATCCTCTAGGGGCTGAGAATTGCCCGTCAGTTGGAGAAGCACAGAATGCAAAAGCACTTGGCAAATCATCCAGGGCAACACAGATGAACGAAATTGTTATTATGGTCCCCAGAAATCCTGACATCCCAAATGTAACGGTTTTCTCACCCCTGGCCACACCACCGCTCCGTAACTCTCTATCGATTCTTGAATGACAATCTTCTTGCCTGCAAACAGATAGTGCTCCTGAGTGTAGCTGGCATAATCAGTAGGAACAAATTTCTGGAGACTCTGAAGAGATGGTTCTATCTTGTTAGACTCTGTGGGGCAGAGAAAGTAGGTTCCATGATTTGTTGATCCAGTGTGAGTGTACACGAGGTACAAATGGCAGGAGGGGAACAGGTTGAGCAATCTTCCCACAAAAAGGGGATAATGCCAGCAAATGGGCACAAAACTGAATGATATGGGGTGACAGGGACGTGGATTCAGATGTGACATTTTTACAATATGATGAAATACCAAAGGCTGCCCTGGGTCCTTTCCTGTGTTTAGGAGAGGATGGGCGAGGAGTGGCTCCATCCTACCCTCTGTTTTGACGACAGGGGGAAGATAGCTTATTAGCCGAATGGCACGAATGAGCTGTCTGGAGAAGGAAGACCTAGGCAAACATGAACCTGCCTATTTTTAGGTCTTGAAGTGAAGTAACATTCCCACATGTTGGCTGGAGCATGCTCCTTAAACCCTTCCTACAACTGCTCCTCAAAAGGTACAGGTCACCCAAAGAAGAGCCAGCTCCACAGTCCTGGGGGAGGTTGTCAGATGAGCTCTGGGTATTAAGTTACTATTGCTTTAAATACTCCTTTACACTCATGACCCACTCTTGCAGCTCTCAAATATCATATAAAATGAGAGGAAAAGAGTGCCTGATCAGGGCTGACATCACAGAAGCACAAGTTCTTGAAGGCTTTGCAGAGTGTTTCAGAGTGAAAAGAACAGGGAGTAAAAATGTCAGGAATGAAGGTGCTGAGCAGGCACACTTAGGGGCCGTCAGCAGGAGAGGAGAAGCTGTTGGTACCAGTGGGGAGAAGGAATTAGCAGCGAGGAGCTTGTGGGGGAAACCTGCTTGAAACCTGCTGTTGTTGCCTGAGATACGCCCAGGACATTTTTAACCATGGGTGGAATGTGGGCTTTGGAAAATAGCAGAAAGGAGCAGTCAGTTAACGTTTGAGGTGCTCTCACCAGAAACACGTATACACTTAAGTTGGGAGAGGAGGAGGCAGGGGTGGAGGGCAGGAATACAGGGTGAAGGGTAGCGGGCCTTTGAAGAAACCTAATCAAGAGTGCAATGCACCCCTCCGAGGCAGGTCCGACAGGCCGGTTCAGTAGCACTGATTTCCACGTGCACCAGAGCAGTTCTGTGCTGTGCCCTGCAAACCTTTTAGAAGAAGTTCACAGTGAAAAAGCACAGAAGTTTGGAGTAAGCATTTAGAAATGCTTACAACAGGGGCCGGCCCAGTGGCCGAGTGATTAAGTTCACGCGCTCTGCTGCAGGCAGCCCAGTGTTTCGTCAGTTCGAATCCTGGGCGCAGACATGGCACTGCTCATTAAGCCATGCTGAGGTGGCATCCCACATGCCACAACTAGAAGGACCCACAACGAAGAATATACAACTATGTACTGGGGGACTTTGGGGAGAAAAAGGAAAAAAAAAATAAAATCTTTTAAAAAAAAAAAAGAAATGTTTATAATAATTTGGCCATGTCTTTTGAATCTAATTACAAAGAAACGTGTCTTGTGTTTTGTATGTATTTTCATTTTGTTTTTCTAGAAATTCATTTTACAAAAAAGTGTCAAAACAGTCTTTGACCACAGCGTGAGCAAAGGGACTGGTTTGTAAACTCGCATGACGGATGTCCACAGCTCTTCAGAGCACTGCTCTGGGCCCCAGGTTCCGATTTAGTGTATTCCACCCCGGAAGGAGAATTCCCTGCCCTAACCAGAAGGGTGAGCTCCAGAGATCTGGGTCTTCACTGAACTTGCAAGAATCTGCCACTAAATAGTGGCCCATTCAGCCCTAGACACTGTCCTTTCCTGTCACGTGTCCTGGTGGGGGCTGTGGGGGGGCTGCAGGGGAGGGAAGAAGACCTGTGGCCCTGGCCTACTCTTATTATGGGAAACCACTGACATCTAACAATGCGAACCCAATATTTATGAATGACCCAGCTTCCCCCACAGGACTGAGTACCAGTGGTTGACTCTGAATTCTGTTTCGGAGACAATAAGAAGGCAAAGGAACGGACCTCCACATGCCCGTAAATGTTTAAGAACCAGTTTGGGGTGAGGAGAAGCTGCACTGATTCGTAGGGTTTGACGATTACCCTGGTGTAAATACTCCCACTGTGGCGATTTCAAACCACCCACGGGACGTCACTGGGGAAAGATGCGCAGCAGCACACCATCACGTGGTGTTTCTGCCACACGGATACAATGGACGTCAATAGCCTCAATAGCATAGATTATAGTAAAATGATTCACGATGAGTCGTATTTATTACTTGCATTTTGTCCTATACTTTTGCCTTTTATATAATCTATTTAAATCTAAGTATATATAACTTAAATGTCAGTAAGGGCCATTTTTAACAACCAGCTCACAAAATTCCTGAAATTGAGGAGCTGGTACAGACTGGTCGGTACCAGGAGTCGGTACAGGGCTTCTCTCCTTTCCTCTGAGGCTTTCCTCACTGCAGTAGGTGACTCAGAGCAGCCAGACCATCAGGGACTCGTGCCAACTCCTGCAGCCTTTCCTCCCCTCACCCTCACGATGACCCAGACTGTTCCTCCTTCCCTCCTCCCACGTATCACCAACTGGGGACTTATTTTTCTCTTGGGACTGTAGGAAATGTCAATGGACTGATTTTGAATGGCTCATTTCACAGGGAAATAAACCAACAAATAATAAGCTGACGGTTATACTTCCCCAATCAACAATGTAAAGAAACATGGGCATATATTCTCCTATAAGACCCTTTACATTCTACTAAGATACAGAAATTTATGTTTATTGTGCATTAAATATTTTCATTTATTGTATATATGCTAGCCTGATAGTTTTAGAGAGATCAGATTTTAGAGGTAGGTAGAGTTGCGTTTTTGTGTAAAAAGTTTAGTAAAAATAAGTAACATCTTAGTAGTGTTGGAACCAAATTTTACCATGTTAAATGATTGTAGGAGTTTCAAATGTTCTATCTTGGACTTTATGACAGCATTTGTTATGTCTATTATCTATTTACTACTGAGTCCCTGTCCAGAAAGGCAGCCTTAAGGGTTACACTGTCTTAATGAGAAGCTACACTTCGATTTACAAGGATCCACTGTATGGCGTTGGGCTAGGAATAAATTTTAGAAAAAAGCAGAAATGAATCTAGATTTTGTTTCTTTTTAAAAGTTTTTGTTACACAAAATATAAAAATCTGAGATTTACACACAAGATAAAACAAATTTGTGGACTTTGATAAGTAAATAATAAAAAATAGGATTACTTTTAATGCTATGCTTATGCTTGTATAAAGGCATTTTTCTACCACGCTTCATTATTGGAAAAATCTAGAGTTAAAAGGAAATGGAAATTCTTGTCACTGAAGCCCACCGGAAAATGCCGTCACCAGGAAAAGAGGTGCTGAGGTGAGGAAGAAGGAGATTACCTCCTGGGGGTCCGCCGGTGCCATCTTCGTGGAGCGCCCCCTCCTCCTTCGCCTCTAACCAGCCATCTGGGGTGCTCGGTCCTTCGTTCAGGTGCCCGGGCTGCTGCTCGGAGCTCAGACACACATCCATAATTGGAGCCGGCTGGAGAGGAGAGAACTGCACAAGACCGAGGTGCTCAGCCCAGGCTGTCTGAATCTCCCGGAAGGCTCTAAAAGGTGCAGCTTATCGCTTTAGCATCTGCTGAGCCGAAAAGAACACCTGCTTTTCAGCTTAGTTCCCTGGGCGAGCAAAGCGGCCACCCGAGGAGCTGCCATCCTGGTTTTGCAGAGCAAAGTGGAGGGAGACCATCAGACATGACCAAACCTGTGCTGTGCATGAAGAAATGCAAAAACAGAGCAATGGTAGCCGGAGGACAGGCACTACGTGGCTGAGCTCTAAAATGTATTGCCAATAGCATCTGGAACTAAATCTTAAAATCTGGTCCAGCAGTAAGTACCATTGCGAGTACCTTGTGGATTGAGGGGTTAAAGACATCATGGATGAGAAGCTGGGATTTGGACCAACATAGGGCTGCTCCCCTTTCATCTGAGGCTTTATCGCAAGACAGTAGAAAGCGCTGGGGGCTGAGAGCCAGGAGCCTGATTTGGCTCCCTACGCCAACACTTGGCAACTCGCTTAATCCCCTCCGAGCCATTTCCTCATCAGCAAAAAGGGGATAATAATATCCGCTAACCCCCAGGGCAAGAAACAGAAGAGCGAAAGTGATTCGTCCAGCACAGGAAAACTCTACCTGTTTCACAAAAGGCGACCTGGCTGTTGGGATCATTGATCTGCATCAAAATAGTAACACCTGCTCTGACCACAGGACCCATCGGGTTTTTGCCAAGGACCGTTCTAGCGCCTTAAGGGTATTGATTCATCTAGTCCTTACAACAAACCCCGTGAAGTGGACACTATTATTGTGCCACTCTCGGATGAGAGAAATTCAGGCACAGAGAGGTTAAAAAGCAGCCCTAGAGCTGGCCAGTGGGAGAGATGGGGTCAGACCCAGGAGCTCCAGCTGCACAATCTACCTTCTTAACCACGAGGCTGGACACAGCTTGAGATGCCTTCCGTCAGCCTTGGGTTTCCTGCCCTAGTTTGCCCTGAAAATACTCATAATCCTTAGCTGTCAATGACGTTTTCTAGTCTTTTTTACAAAATGTAATTGATTTTCCTTATTTCCGTGTACCCTCCTGAGTTTATTCTCCACATGCAGCGTCGCCTCATCTTATTGTTTCAGCCCACTGAGGATAGTAGCTAAACACATCAGACACGCCACTACTAGCCAGCTGACCTAAAAACCAACAGGAAATCCAGCCACTGGGCGTTGACTCACTCCACCGAGCAAACGGACAAGACTCAAGGAAGAGTGCCAGCCCCACAGCCAACACAATCCCATTCCGCACCTGGAGAGGTTGTGTGTCCCTCACATTAATGTGCCACAGGACTTCAAACAAATGCCTTTGCTGTGAAAGTAAGTTAGCATTTTCACTGGCTCTGGAATCAAGTAGTCAAATATTTACTCCAATTCTCCAACTCATCAACCAGCCAAGCATGCTCTACCTGTCTGTGCTTTGCAGGAGAAGTTTTTCTCTTGTAGATAATTACTTGCACCTTCCTACAACTCCAGGAAGTTAATTGTTCCCGCTAATACACAACAGACTGGTTGTTTATGAAGACGCAGAGCATCTTCAGTGCAGAAGGCTCAGAGCTGTGATGTGGGCCGGCACTTGAATCTTGAATCTTGGCTCTGCCATGTACAATCTTTGTTGCGAAGGTAGATAATGGTGAGACCTGCCTCACATGGTGGGTGTAGGAATTGAGAAGTAATCTACACAAAGCCTCTCACACATGCAGTCTCAACCACCATCATCTCAAGAAGCTAGAGATATTCTGCACTACAGCACTCTGCAGGACTTCCATCCAGCACCACTCTGCACATTAAATTTAAGACGTTTCTTCATTTTGCCCGCAAGGAAAGAATCATTTTCAGTCAAACATCAGGTGGCACTTTCCCTCCTGAAATGAATTGCCTCCCTCCCCCACCATTATAGTTGACATGAGAAAGTAACATTTTCCCAAAGACAGCTGTGCATTGAAAAGCAACCTAGAAAATAACTACAGTAATCTACCTAGTGTTCATCATTAGTTGCACACATCATGTGTTATATAGCTTATGTCAGTATTTACTAAAGAATTGGGGAGTTTTTAAAATGACTCCTTGTTAGTAACCTCAAGATAATATTGAACTGTTAGTTTAAATATATCTTTACCTTATGTAGCGGAAGAGATTGAGATTTCTGTGCACACTTTAATCCCCAATGTTTTATATAGATCTGCACCTGAAAGGATTAGCATTTTATGAACAAAAGCCAGCCAGTGGGAGTCCAAGTTATTTAGGGTAGCATTATCCACCAGTATTCAGACACATTACTTTGCTGGTATTTCCTCTCTCTTTCTCTCTTTCTCTCTTTCTCAATTCTCAATTTTCTCTCTCTCTCTCTTACATACACAAACACAATCCTTGCAACGTGAAATGGAATCACCCTCAAAAGATTCAGAAAATTACTCCAGCAGAACAGAGGCTGTCCTCTATGGTATCCAGTTGCTGTGATGTAGTTTAAAATGTAGATTTATATTTCACTTTCAAAAGAAGTAGGAGTTGGATAGTTGGCGTTTTGTATGGACCTGCAGACTTTGTGCTCATTAGCCAAACTCCTGTGGCTGAAGAAAGGGGCGTGGCAGCTGTGGGCTCTGCCCTAAAGTCTGCTTCTAGCAGCAGAAATCACGGAAGACTGCCAAGAGGAGGACAAGAGAACGGCTACCCACCAGAAGGGGCGTGAGTCAGAGGCTTCAAGTCGGATAAGGGGTGTTTAGTTGGGGCAGCCGTGATTAGGAAATCAGAAAAACTCTTCTAAGAAAAAAGCAAGTCATTGTCATTTATGTAATTGAAAAAAGACAGAGTTAAAAAGGGAGGAGGGAAATCATGTGCTTATTTGGGGAGCCTAGAAACCCTTCAAATAGAACATAAGGCGTGTAAATTGAGCCTTAGGTAAATGGGAATTAAACAATTAGTCACATTTATGAGGGACTCTGTTTAACCAGTGGACTGAACCAATGGTGGTTTAGTTTGAGTAGATGTAAGAGCCTATTTTCATTTTTTTACCCAACTTGGGTACTTTCTTCTCTGCTGTCACTTTTTTTTGCTTTACGCCTGTCTCTTTTAAATCAGGATCTTCATCCGAATGTGCGGTGGTCCCATGACTATTAGGTCTTCTTTCCCACTCTCTTCAATGAAGGGAGGTGACCTGGAGTCTTTCCCAAGTCTGTCATTGTCATGCTTTCTCATTCCCCAAGTGGTCCAGTTCTGTGATTGTGTCCTGCGAGTCTGTAACTTATTTCCACCAGATGTCATCATCCTTATAGGGAATAGCAAAAAGATAGTCATTACAGTTTTATAAATAACTTTTGAAAACCAATTGCAATGTATATGAATGTATATATGTATATTTACACACACACAGTATTCATTCTACAAGCTTTAAAATGAAGAAAAGGACAAAAAAAGAAAAAAAATTTCAATCTGCTTTAACCTCACTATCTGGAGAAGTAAGCCTAACATTTTTCGGTATCAACTTCCAGGCTTTTTTTGTATAAACTTTAAAAGCTGTTTTACGGAAAATGAAACTGGACAGAAACAGGTACCTCTTTGACTTAGTATGGAATATCCTATTATTTTAAGAGTTTTTTTTTTTAATGCTTTCTTCAAAAACCACCTTTCAGGTAGCTGCTTTAAGAAACGAAACTTTATTGACCTATAACTGGAATAAGTTAGGTTCAAGTTTCCTAAATTCTAGACAGTAGATGGCCTACATCAGAATTACCTGGAAGCTTTACAATACATTGATTCTAGGCCCTGGAAATTCCTCTTCAAAGGACTGAGAAAGAGCCCAGAAGTTAGAACTCCCAGTCTGACAACTGCTCCCTGTGTGTCCACAGCACCTGGCACGCAGGAGGTGCAATCTATAGGGCAGGGGACACATGAGTTGTTTTCACATAGTTGAAGTGCCACCCCGTGAAGAGGGATTAGGCCTCTGCATGGCTCCAGAGGGCACACGGATGAAGTAAGTGCCCTGGAAGCAGATTTGGGCTCAACAGGAAAGAACTTTCTAACAAGCAGAGCAATGGAACAATTGATCTCAGGGAGCCTAGCATAATGGAAAGTGGGCCAGATTTGAAGTCAGAAGACACAAGATTGAATCAAAGGTTTGTACAGGGTCAATAAATAGGCTGTGTGTGTGCTGTCATCTGCCTTTCTCCATCATCGTAGACCTCTGATCTCTCACGGGGCTTCTTTCCAACTGAACCCAACTCTCTCGGCCAGTGGTCCTCAACACGGAGGAATCCTCCCCACCTCCCAGGGACATTTGGCAATCTGGAGACTTTTTTGCTTATCACAACTGGGATGGGGTGCTATTGGCATCTATTGAACAGAGGCTGGGCGTGCTGCCAAACCTTCCAGATTGCACAGGACAACCCATCCCAGAGAAGAACTACCCAGCCCACAATGTCAACAGAGCCGAGGCTGAGAAACCCTGCACTAGGTGACGGATTGGAGTTGTCATTCAGGGTATTTCATTGCCATCCTATATATACCATCTTCTAGAAAGGTGACCCCTGCCCCCTCTGTCTCAGTGTCCTCATCTATACAATGGTGTGAGTTAGCATTTATACCAGATTCTTAGCCACATCTTCATGTAGATCCAACACCCCAGCCCCAGGCTTCATCTGCTTTCTCCCAGGAGCAGATTCAGAGACAAGGATTTGAGAGAAAGTATTTTATTTGGGAAGTGAGGAAGGGAGACTAACCCAGGGACAGGTGGCAGCCTGCAAAGAGTGTTCTATGAAGCCTGCTACCACAGTGGGCGATGAAAACTGAAACCCGTGGGGAAAGGCTGGGAAACAGGGCAAAATACACACCTCAGGATTATTCCAGTCCAGGCTCAGAGGGCTTTTGGGGTATTGATACACCAACAGCTCAGCACAGATGTAGGGACTAGCAGCTGGGCACTCAGATGTGTCTGAGAGAGGCGAGTGTGGCCTCAACAGCATCTGCTGTGGCTTCATAAGATGTTATCATTCCTTATTTTACATATCTGAAAGAATTTGGCAATGCGTGGTGCCTAGAAGGTCATCAATAAATAAATGTCTTGTATTAAATTGTATGCCATTCAAGTAGAGGGTTGAATCAGCAGGGTTCTTTGAAAGGATTTTGGGTCCCTCACTGAATTAAATGGAAATGCTGAGCACTGGGGCTTGAGAAATAAAGGACCCAGGGCTGCTCTGGTCCCAGAAGTCTCAGCAGCCTGAGTTCATGGACCTTCTCTTTAAATAGTGCTGTTGGAGGCCTCCGCCGCTATCACCTTCTGGCTTGTGTAACTGTGGTTGAGATTCAAGATCTAGGGGAAAAGATTCTAATGGGTCTTACTTGGTCATAAGCTCACCCTTATAGTCAGAGCTGAGTGGTATGAGAAGCATCCCACCAAATCATGAAGTGTAGGGCTGGCAGC